CGTGTGCGTGCGTGGGTGCGTGTGCGTGCGTGGGTGCGTGTGCGTCTGTGTGAATGTTTTCTGATGCACATATGTCACTGCGTACGTGTGCGCTTCGGAAAATAACATAAAACATTAACATGTTAATTTAACAATAACATTCAAAATTAAAATGGATAATTTTCAACATGAAATTAAGATACGTATCAACGCTCATTTGCTATTACACAGTAAACCTATGATATAACGAACTGATGCTCTCTCAGTCACAACCTCTCTCATCAACGACAAGTTATCTGATTATCTTCACACCCAACATAAACCCCGGAACACATTCCCTGCCAAGGGTCCGGGTTACTATGAGCGAATCCATCGTTTCACCTTTATTTCGTTGATAGGTGGCGAGACTGTCCATGGCTTCCCCGTCTGGGAACAGAGTGCGTAGCGGCGTGCGCGCGTACGTGTGCTCCTGTATGAGACTCTCCATGTGCTCCCTGTAATACGGCAAATCCGAATCCGTGAACCGTTCTCCGAGTGTCCGCATCCAAGCTGAGCTAAATGTACAAGGACAAAATTATTCAAACCTGCGCGCACGCCACCACGTCTTGGGACAGGTTCAATATGCCTATGGTACCATGCATGGGTGTTAGAAGGATTTGCCAAAGAAATTATCAAGAGTTAATAATACCTATTAGAGCTATTATACTAGGTATTATTGGCTCTTAATGTTGTCTTAGTATTGGTGCACGCACGTGCTCTGCTCATACTGTTTGATTTGGTAACTATTTAAAAATTGCTTGACTTGGCTTAACTTGAACAAAACCCCTTTTTGAGATTTATATACATGTATTTAAATATCTCTAACCATAGTACTGCAGTTATCTAGATATTCAGTTATTGTTTCAACGAGGAAAAGGATAGAGACACGCGGTCAAACTATATATATATATATAATACATATACATTTGCCTAGTATATACTGCTAATATAATTTAAATGTTTATTAATTTATTTATTTCCGTATTAAAATGTACCATTATTTAAGTGAACATAGTAACGATTCATTGGCGAACAAATCAAACTTATAACAATATAAAAAATGCGTCACATCGACGCCATGTCTGCATGCCTATTCTGCGCATGCGCAATGTGTACCTCTCAAACTCGGTGAGTCTTGATGAATCCCTGAATCCCTTTGCGAATGGGTTGCTATCAATCTTCAGTTTGGTGATCTAGAGATGGTAATAGAGAGATAGTATCGCGTGTATGTATAGATAGGATGTATAGATAAGCGCACGCTGTTACATCCACAGCTGCGACCCATGCTGCACACCGTCTCCCCCTCATCCTCCTCCTCCTCCTCCTCTTCCTCCTCCTCCTAATCCTCCTCCTCCTTTGCCAATCTCCTCCTCACCCTCCTTTTCCTCCACCTCCTTCCTCTTCTTCTTCTTCTTCTTCTTCTCCTCATCCTGCTACATCTCATTCGCCTGCCTCCTTCTTCTCCACCTCTTCCTCCGCCTCCACCACCTCCCTTCCTTCTCTTCCCCCTCTTCCTCGTCCTTCTCCTTCTCCTGCTCCGCTGCACACGCGCCCCCTGGCGGCCTGCACAGATGCGCTCGCTTGTCTGTTCGTGAAGTAATCTGCATATTTTAGTAGCTAATCATTATCGGAGGACTGCGGATTAGACTCTCGGCCTTCTTCGTGCATTCAGCTTCTCTGCTCGCTGTTAATTAAACTTTTCGTCTTGTTGCGTTTTTACTGTCTCCGCGGTGACATGACGCGGACAGGCGACATTTCAGTTAGAGATGGGTGGAGGGGAGGGAGGGTAGTGATAGCAAAGGAGGGAGAGGAGGGTGAGTAGTGGTGGCGGAGGAGGGGGAGGGTGAGTAGTGGTGGCGGAGGAGGGGGAGGGAGCGTGCGTGCGTGCGTGCGTGCGTGCGCGTGCAGATGATTACATTACCGCGTATCGTACTTTGAACATTTATAGCAGACGCCCTTTACAGAAAACCTTGAATGTAATCACCCGTTTGCTCTTAGTTTACAATATTAGCTTCTATATTTTTATTTCTGTCAACCGATCTCTGAAATAAATAAATATATATATGTATATAGATATACGTACACAATATTCTAACAAAATCGTGAATACCTAAATTATTATAACTGATTTGTTATATGCTATTACGTTTAGTTAAAAACTACGATTACAATAAAAAGCACAGTTAAATACTATCTCATTATTCTCCATAAAACCGATAACAAAATGTGGCACGAATATACACGCGCGTGTTTCCCTCTGTCGCGGTCTCTTGGAAGCCATAATGAATGTGATTTATACACTGTGCCAGCCACTTATATACAGATCGCCAATTCCGCATCCGAATTTCTGTAGCTTATCCTTTTGGCGACATTTCAGCAACGGGGCGAAATAAGAACGAACCGTGAAATCTACTGAAATGAAAATACGGGTGAAACTTTGCGGCAATATGGCGGTACGGCGACAGCGACAGCGCCGCCTGTGGCAACGTCGGCTGCGGGAAGATAATGCCTGAGGCGCTAGATGGCTCTGACGTCGCCAGCGCCGAGCTCGCATACGTCGAAGGCGGCTGGGGGAAGAGACCAGGTAGCTGTGACGTCATACCAGCAGCAAAGATGGCGGGCCCAGCGCGTAGTCCTTGGTAGAGCGTCGTGGCTAACTCATCATTGCGCATCTCTGCAGTAGATCAGCAGTTGTTAAAGAAGTAACAAGTACAAGTACAAGTACAAGAACAAGTACACTGTACAAGTACAAGAACAAGTACAAGTTGCGACTGTCTCTCCGAACATTCTAACAAGTCGACAGCAGATCACGAAGAACGCGTCATCCGTTAATGCAAAGGTCCCGACACCCCCACCCCGCTCACGGCGACTTACTCAACCCCGAGCAAAATGCCATAGCGCTGATTTGTGTAACTTGAAGAGCCAGCGATCGAGCGCTGCGCGACCGCCACGCCCCCTTCTGGTAATAATGATCTCGTTACCGGGTGATTGGAGAGAGCGTTTAATTTTCCGCGCTCAATTCAAAGAGGACTTTGATTACATTTGTTAACATTCCGGGGCCAGGCCGGTAAAATGCCGGCCGTAGGAGAGTACGTAGTCGGATGGGAGATGATAGCGATGCGTCGCCCTGGTAACACAGGGAGCGAGCTGACGAGGACTAGAATCTACCATCGTGAAGAGGCTGATGAAGTCGTTCGCCTCTGCTCTCGTCTCTCGCTCTCTGCGTCTCTGCCGCCGCGCTCTCTTCTCTCTTTTGTCCTCTTCTCTCCCTTTTTTGATCTCTCCCTCCCTATCTCTCTGCTTCGGGCGGCGCACGTGCTCTCTCTCTTCTCTCTGTCTCTCTCTCTCTCTCTGCTCTATCTCTTCCATTCCTCGCTCTCTCTCATGCTCTCTCTTCTCTCTCTCTCTCTCTCTCTCTCTCTCTCTCTATGTTCTACGCCTCTCTCTTTTTCTTCTCTCCACTCACTAATGTGAATTTTCTCGCGTGTGTTTCGTATGATATATTTCTACCAACACTCTTCATTTCTCCCCTGGCCCTTCTCGTCTCTCTCTCTCGTCTCTCTCTCTCTTCTCTACTCTTCTCTTCTCTTCGCTCTCTCCTTTCACCTACCCTCGCATCCCGTCCTCCCTCTCTCTCCCCACCTCCTCTCCTCTCTCGTTCGAATACCTCCGCTTTCGTCGCGGCTCGCGGCTTTGCGGCGTGGCGGCCTGGCGATCGTCTGTTGCGGTCTCTTCCCCTTGCGTTTGTACCTGGTGGTCGCCGTGCTGGGCCGGCCGGTGCCTCCCTCTCGTCTCTTCCCTTCGCCCTCCCCTATCTCCTCTCTCTCCGCCTCCCCCTCTCTCTCCTCTCTCTTCCACGTCCCTTCGCCTCGCTCTCTCTCTTCCCCTCCCTTCTATCTCGCCACAACTCTCGTCTTCCTCCGCGCCGGGGCCTGCGCTCCCCTGCGTCGCTCCCCGCTCACCTCCCTTTCCCTCCCGCCCGACTGTGGCGGCCGGCCTCTCCTTCTCTCTTCCTCACCTCCCTCTTCTCGGCTCTCTCTTCCCTCTCTCTCTCTCCCTCTCTCTCCCCTCCCCTCACCTTCTCTCTTTCCTTCCTCTCTCTCTCCCTCTCTCTTCCGCTCCCCACTCTCTCTTGCCTCTCTCTCCCCTTCCCCCTCTCTCTCTCTTCCTCCCCCTCTCTCTCCTCTCTCTATCCCTTCCCCTCCCTTATCTCTCCTCTCTCTCCCTCCTTCCTTCACTCCCCTCCCTCCCCTCCCTCTCTCGCCACGCGATGCTCGTTCGTTGCTACGAGACGATGAT